CTCAGAGATTAAATTGGAAATTAGAGTGCACAGTTTTATGGAAGGATGAATATTTGAGAACCAMGAAAAAAAATTCCTTGGGTCAAGGAAGGACTTAACAAACTCTGCTCACACATGAGGTCAAGTTCCAGGAAATCATCCTGAGACCCCAGAGAGGTGAGAGACAAGTATGCTACTCCTATAGATACCACCCTTGATTCTAATAATGGTGACAATGAAATAATGTTAAATGGCATGAAAAGAATTTTTGTGAATCATCAATTTTTTTGTACCCCAATGTCTGAGAAGTAATTTTGTCTTTTTACAGTACTTACTTTTTGTGGTGACTTGTAAACAGAATTGGAAGCTAGATGATGGAGCTGGAAAAAAAAAATAAATAAATACAATACAATAAATACCATACATATATATTAGGTAGTACACTTATATGAAACAGTGAAATCCAATACGAAATTTTAAAGCTTACAGGAGTCCAGTTTCGTATGTCTGAAGTTTTAACGTCTGCTCCTTTCTCTTCTACCAAGTATTTCACACGTGCCAATAACGTCTCACTGACTTTCAGTTTACTGATWGTCTGCGACAACAAGGTCTGGCCATTGTCATCAGGAACGTTAACATCACAGCTGTCTAGATCAAGGAGATAGTCTGTACACTTGATGTGGTCTTTGAGCATGGATAGAGCAAGGGGAGTTGTCTGTTGGTGGAGAAAATCATATTGTCATATCAAAATATATTTTACGACTATCACTCTCTGAAGGGGCTCTTCTGTGAGGTTTGCTTCACTATTTACACCACACAACACTAAATTCATATGATGCTTTTTGAACAAAAGAAAAACTGGAGAATCCAGAGAAAAACCCTATGTATTAAGGAACAACACATCAAATTAACAAACTCAACTCATATATGCGGCTCAGTCAAGAATTGAACCTCAGACCTCAGACTTGAACTATGCAGAAGTGAGAGTACGAAGTTGTACTTGTAGCAAAGTTGTGAGAACATTTCTTTAGAATATTTTATAGAAGGGAATTTCTTTAATTTGTAATATTTGTAATCTGCCCTTCAATAAAATTGCAAGAGATGCTGTGAGGAATGTTGCCATACACTGCACAAAATAGTAGGAACTTGTAGATAAATTTGATCACCGTTAAAAGCTTTGTGAAACCGAGGTTTCGGACGTTACACTTCTAGTTATCACCACTGCACAAAATAATTGCACTCACACCCTGAATTTTGGATTCATTACTTCATACCTTCCACTGGTTAGAGGCATTAGGATTAGCACCAGCTTTAATCAACAGCTGAAGRCAGTGCAGCCATCCATATGCTGCAGCATAGTGAACTGGAGTATTGCCTGAGGTGTCGACAGCATTAGGATCTACCCCAAGCCGAAGCAGATATGCAGCAATGGTAGAGTGTCCATTTTTGACAGCATACATCAATGCTGTCATTCTCCATTTTCCTAATGAGAAAAATTACTGTATTCAAGGAGAGAAATTTTGACAAAACTCAAGACAAGGCTGCAAATAGGTGCTGGTCATTGGACTAATGTCCACTTGATTGATAAATGCTTTGCCTGGGCTAGACATCTGACAAGATGTACACTTGGGTTTTGACAGGTCAAATGTGCCTCTGGCCTGACAAATGTCCTGCTTATTAATTATTTTTTTGCAGTCTTGCAAGAAATCATGGCAAAATTGAGAGGTTTCAGATGATAAAAATACCTCTTTTGTCTGCACCTCCGCCAAGTTCCACACAAGTCTTGACCACATCTAAGTGCCCATGCATGGCACCAAGCATCAGGGCAGTTGYATTTCCTTTGCCGCTAGCAGTTTGTAGGTTGATATTAGCACCATGTGCTACTAGTATCCTGATTGTACTCTGYATAATAGTGTAAATATTAAATAAATATCATCACAATATTTGATGAGCAAGCAATTATTTTATTAATAGAACCTTAAAACAACCTCTGTGCTGATCTAAGTCAGGGCACGGGTATCTCACCTGTTGTGTTTTGATTAAAAAGAAAACCAGAGAATAAATAAATAGCTGTTACTTTAAAGAGGGTAAAGATGTATCTCAACTCACATCCTAGGCTCTGCATGCGGGGCTCAAACTGTGKACCCTTTGCACCAAAGCCTTGTAATCCCTGAGACGACGATGCCTTAGTAGCAAAGACCACCCATGCAACCCTAAAAACCCTCAAATCAAGGGAGAGTCTTAATGAACTCTACTCACATGTGATACTAAATCCAGGAATCAAGCTCAAAGACCCTRGAGAGGTGAATGTACTAGTTACCTCTACACCTCTCTTGATCCCCATTTCCAAAAATAGATCACAGCAAAACGAAAGGCATTAACATACTTACAGCATGTCCATTAATGGCAGCATAATGAATAGCTGCTTCRGCAGTCCTGCTCTTAGCATTAATTTGTACTCTCRGTTGTGGAGCTTCCTCTTCTTCCTCCTCACCAAAGTCACGCCCTGTCGATTCCTCTCTTGCTAGCAAGGTTTCTATGTTTTCATTTTGACCATACTTAGACGCAATCATGATGGGAGTCAAACCTCCAGGGGCCAAGTCATTGGGGTCAACACCTCTAGAAGAACCAATGATAAAAGTTAATACATGGAGCTGTGGTACGGATTAGATAGGTGCAATCTGATTGGCTCCCTCAGTGGTCATAAATTTGCTCCTGACCCTTTCAGAATGACTTTTTTTTCTCATTACGATAAACATTTTATTTAAAGTTTATTGATAYTGTACACTGAAACAACACTTTTGGCGATTGAAGTCAGAGCAAGACTAACTTACAGATCAAAAACCTGAAAGAGGCCTTTTRGCTGATTGATCTCAGAGCATGGCTAACTCACAGATTGAATTTGAATTTATATTTTGCAGAAGCAGAAACACTAGAGAACCTAGAGGTCACAGGTACTACTTGCATTCTTATTGGTTGGGAGTGCGTGGTTTATGAGAGCACACAGCACACACATGCCCTTGTATTTTATAAAAGAAAAAAACACTTGCTCACTGTGCTGTGTGGAGTTATAAAGCACTTGGGGATTGGCACAACACTAGCTCAAGAAGTGTAGAGAAGCACTCCACTAAGTGTTGTGCTTCTCCTAACATTTCTCTCGTGTTCTACCTATTCCCGCATGCTTTATAACAGCACACAACACACAAGCGCATTTTCTATTTCTTCATTATTCACCTTGCCAGGAGTATTTTGAGTGGCTCAGCACCTTCACAGGCACTTGCATAGTGAATTGGTTTATATCCATCTCTGTCAGCAACATTATATTCTGGTACAGATTCAAGGAGCTGCTTCAGATACTGACCATTGGGGTTGATGCATGCGGCATGGATTGGAAGGATCTG